TTATATCTGAATATAAGCAAACTCTATTTTTGACTCGAAAATGTGTAAAATTGCAGTTGCTTATATTTGAAGATATACGGTAAGTATAAAAACTTTATATACGATCTAAATTTTTAAAAGAAAAATTATTTTCCTGCATTTAAGCAAATCTTGAGTAGTTAGTTCTGTTCCTGGTTTTGTGCGATGATGTTGTGCAGCTATCTAGTTAGTTATTTGGTGTAATATAAAATTATCAGAATTTTGTTTATAGGTACAATTGTATGACTGCATGAATTGGGTGGTCAGTGTGGCTAGATCAAGTAAAGTAGAGCAATTATTTGTTTGTGGCATATAGATACGTATGTATATAAAGATAATTATTGGTATATACCAATACGTATGAATATATAACGTAGTTATTTAAGTGATTTTATACGTGAAGATTTAGTTGAGTTTGGAGTTTTTTAAAAATCAAATATGTATGGGTTTTATGCAAAGTGGGTGAGTAATAAAAATTTTTATTAAAAATATTATTATATAGATATTATATAACAGTCGCACTATTTGTCACGTGATTATCATGGGAAGTGATTTTAATATAGATTCTAAAATGATCTACGTCATATAAAAAAAATCAATTTCATATAAAATGAACAAAATCGTCAATTTTCGTACCATTTTTTGCTTAAATAAATACATTTTTATACAAAAATAAAGCCAGTATTACACAAAGATATATAAAAATTATCTTCTGGCCGGTTTTGAACATGACTTATAACACTCATTTTAAAGAATCTCGACGATAAAGTTAGGTACACCCTTAGGTGTCGATTAGCAGCGATCAACGTTGTGATCAACGTTGTAAACGTTGTTTTATTAAATAGGCGCTAATGTTTTAGAACAGACCTTCTTTGACAGTGCCGAAACAGAAGTATAAACCAAAATCAAGACATTGAAAGTATGGCTGAAGAGATGATCCTAATTGAATGATTTAAAAATGAATGTCGATCAGGAAAAATTTCATAAGCATACTTTTAATCGTTTAAACTGACTTAACAGTTAGTTATTTACTTAATAGCATTGGTTAATTATATAGGAAAACTATTAGCGAAGCCAGGACAATCAACACTTTCTATTGCGAACCCGTTTGTAATGAACTCTGGGCAAATGAACTACAAGTTTTGTGTTTGTATGATACAGAGATTATGATAGTTTTTTAAGAATCACAGTAATTTTTATAATGAATTTTTTTTAATTTTACAGCTTATCATTAAGATCCAAATTGCTTTAACTCACAGTGGGAATTGTGCTTAGCGTTACCGTTACCATTACCATTACTGGAGGGAGATAACTATGCTTAGATCAGGTTGAGTAAATATCAGAATGATGTATAAGAATAATAAGAGAAATATATAAGGAATATCAAAGGTGCGGGATAATCATTAAATCAAGAAATAAGAATTATAAATAATAACAATTAATTAATAAAAGTTAAATATGCGCAGGGCAAGATATTAACGTTCACAGATTTGATCCAGATAAGTTTTAAGAAATTAGGTTTAATTAAAAAGATATTTTCTGTTTTGGGTCATACTAATATAATTTGTTTACACTATGCTATAATATCCATTTAGTTGGGAATAATAATTCGGAGAAAACTCGTATTGGTAAAATTGAAAAGTGTTATTATTATTCCTTAGAATCGTACTAACCGAAGAAATCTTTGTGAAATACGATTGATAGATTCGCGCTATACCCTTTTTAGCACCTCATAGGACAATTATTGATTTTCTAATTTGGTGGCATAATCATAAACATTCTCAAGGGACATGCTATTGAGACGATGATACGATTCCAGATTCACCAATAGCGGGAAGAAGGGCGTAGTGAATTTACAAGTTAGAATAGCGTACTGAAAAAGGGAATTTTCTTAATGATGAGATGAATTTGTGTTTTATCAACTTGTAATAAATATTGATTTCTAATATTTAATAAACATTTCTCAAGGGGCGTATTATTGAAGAGACGATGCGATTCCAGATGTGGGAAAGAAGGTATGGTGAATTATTTACAGGTTAGAATAGCATGTTGAGATGAATTGTGTTTTATCAACTTGTAATAAATAGATTTTCTAATATTTAATAGATGCACCAATAGTGGGAAAGAAGGTATGGTGAATTATTTACAGGTTGGAAATGATGTGCTGAAAAGGAGAATTTTCTAAATGATAAGCGGATTTATGTAATAAACTTTTTCTGAGAACGCGTAAATAGGAAGTTTTTTTAGATGTATCAAAAGCTTTTTATCGCACTTTTCTTATTAAAAATTTGGGGTTTATATTAAACAATTTGTGCATAAGATATTATTAGATATTTAAGGCAAAAAATGTATTTTCTATCAATAAATAATTAAGCAATAAATATAAATAAGTCTTTTCTCGCATGTTAAAATTTTTTATTGTAATTAAATTTTTTTAAATAAAAAATACAATTATTTAAATTCATAAAACTTCGCAGTTACAATGATGGAAAACATTGATTATAACGATTCTGATAGTGAATCTGTAGATGAAATCGAAAACTTTCCTATTCTAAACTTCGATAACGATACATATCAAAATATTAAGGATAAAATATTACAACTAGATGGCGATGATAATGAAGACTATGACCTTAATAGTGAAATAGAAGAAATTATATTACATGATGAGTTAGATGAAGGATTTGATGAAATTATACCAAATATTCCCGAAAATAAAGATAATAAATACACACCTTGTGTCATTATAGATAATGACAATGATAATTACAAAATACAACGATGCAACGGAATTGATGCTAACCGACCTCTTGCACAACTTAAGAGTACTTGGAAAATCGATCGTAATACCGCTGAGCAATATAATGGAAAATTAAATGAGCTTGGTATCTGTTATAGGCATTTTCTTTATGATCAAAATCAGCTACATTTAAAAAAAATTCAAACGCTAGGAACAGACCGTAGTATTCTTCATTATGCGAGATGCTTATTTTGTAATAAATATAAATGCTTCTTTACACGTGGTGAGGGTTGTTCCAAGCATTCGTGGATAATATGTGGACGTAATATTAGAGTTCCATGTCTAGGACTACGATTATGTGAAGCATTACAAACCTGTTACTCGGTTTCTGTTTTGTCAACAAATAATACACGACCCTTATATATTTGTTCAGAATGTTATGAGGCAAATGGTGGTCATCTACATAGAAGGTATGGTAAAGGAACTAGAGAAACAGACTGTAATGAGAAACATGATGACTTAACTAGAGTTTTAGAAACATTTGGAAATTGGATTCAGTTAGTAGCAAAATCAGATAATATAATACAAAAACAACAGCTTATCTGGTTATTGTTGCCAGCAGTTGAGTCGTTAAAGTCTTATTTGCCGCGAGAATTGCTTTATAAACCAATAAATCCAGATCCTTCTGAACGATTTGTTATGCCGACTCTACTAATTACTCGAATAGCATTTAGATTAGCAAAAATAGATTTAAGCATTAAAGCAAAAGCAGCATCTTTAAAAGAAAATGAGTGTACATACTTCGGAAATCTTCTTGGAGAATCTTTATGGCAATCACGCATCTTGCTTAAAGATAATTTGCCAATATTAGAAAATCCTCAATCGCTTGTACAATATGCTTCGGTATTGCCTCAAACTCTGTGGTCTTTTTTTAATAGTCTTATTATGGTTCTTTTTGTAAAAAAACATGAAATTGCTGAAAGAAAAAGAAAATCACGTGGATCACCATCAATTCTATTAAATTTAATATCAATTAAAAGAATCACAATATTTTTAGTATCAATTGTGATGGGAATTTCTTTTCGTCGTTGGCAAATTTGGAGGAAGTTTAAACTGGAATGTGATTCGTAGAGTAGTATGTGCAGTTTGCCGTGCAGTATCATAAATATTTCCGTATGCGAATGTTTTTTCTTTTATATCAATATTATTAATAACTGATAATTTATAGATATTACTTGTAGTTTCAAGTCTGTTAGCAGGATTAGCACTTTCCATGCGCCATCTTTCTGTACGAACTTCATGATCCCAAACATAAGAAATTATATGTGCAGAACGAAGAATTTTATGAAGCTTTGAAATCATATTTGGGCGTCTACAAAGTGAGCCCAAGACATGAGGTAACCAAATTTTCCAACGACGAAAAGAAATTCCCATCACAATTGATACTAAAAATATTGTGATTCTTTTAATTGATATTAAATTTAATAGAATTGATGGTGATCCACGTGATTTTCTTTTTCTTTCAGCAATTTCATGTTTTTTTACAAAAAGAACCATAATAAGACTATTAAAAAAAGACCACAGAGTTTGAGGCAATACCGAAGCATATTGTACAAGCGATTGAGGATTTTCTAATATTGGCAAATTATCTTTAAGCAAGATGCGTGATTGCCATAAAGATTCTCCAAGAAGATTTCCGAAGTATGTACACTCATTTTCTTTTAAAGATGCTGCTTTTGCTTTAATGCTTAAATCTATTTTTGCTAATCTAAATGCTATTCGAGTAATTAGTAGAGTCGGCATAACAAATCGTTCAGAAGGATCTGGATTTATTGGTTTATAAAGCAATTCTCGCGGCAAATAAGACTTTAACGACTCAACTGCTGGCAACAATAACCAGATAAGCTGTTGTTTTTGTATTATATTATCTGATTTTGCTACTAACTGAATCCAATTTCCAAATGTTTCTAAAACTCTAGTTAAGTCATCATGTTTCTCATTACAGTCTGTTTCTCTAGTTCCTTTACCATACCTTCTATGTAGATGACCACCATTTGCCTCATAACATTCTGAACAAATATATAAGGGTCGTGTATTATTTGTTGACAAAACAGAAACCGAGTAACAGGTTTGTAATGCTTCACATAATCGTAGTCCTAGACATGGAACTCTAATATTACGTCCACATATTATCCACGAATGCTTGGAACAACCCTCACCACGTGTAAAGAAGCATTTATATTTATTACAAAATAAGCATCTCGCATAATGAAGAATACTACGGTCTGTTCCTAGCGTTTGAATTTTTTTTAAATGTAGCTGATTTTGATCATAAAGAAAATGCCTATAACAGATACCAAGCTCATTTAATTTTCCATTATATTGCTCAGCGGTATTACGATCGATTTTCCAAGTACTCTTAAGTTGTGCAAGAGGTCGGTTAGCATCAATTCCGTTGCATCGTTGTATTTTGTAATTATCATTGTCATTATCTATAATGACACAAGGTGTGTATTTATTATCTTTATTTTCGGGAATATTTGGTATAATTTCATCAAATCCTTCATCTAACTCATCATGTAATATAATTTCTTCTATTTCACTATTAAGGTCATAGTCTTCATTATCATCGCCATCTAGTTGTAATATTTTATCCTTAATATTTTGATATGTATCGTTATCGAAGTTTAGAATAGGAAAGTTTTCGATTTCATCTACAGATTCACTATCAGAATCGTTATAATCAATGTTTTCCATCATTGTAACTGCGAAGTTTTATGAATTTAAATAATTGTATTTTTTATTTAAAAAAATTTAATTACAATAAAAAATTTTAACATGCGAGAAAAGACTTATTTATATTTATTGCTTAATTATTTATTGATAGAAAATACATTTTTTGCCTTAAATATCTAATAATATCTTATGCACAAATTGTTTAATATAAACCCCAAATTTTTAATAAGAAAAGTGCGATAAAAAGCTTTTGATACATCTAAAAAAACTTCCTATTTACGCGTTCTCAGAAAAAGTTTATTACATAAATCCGCTTATCATTTAGAAAATTCTCCTTTTCAGCACATCATTTCCAACCTGTAAATAATTCACCATACCTTCTTTCCCACTATTGGTGCATCTATTAAATATTAGAAAATCTATTTATTACAAGTTGATAAAACACAATTCATCTCAACATGCTATTCTAACCTGTAAATAATTCACCATACCTTCTTTCCCACATCTGGAATCGCATCGTCTCTTCAATAATACGCCCCTTGAGAAATGTTTATTAAATATTAGAAATCAATATTTATTACAAGTTGATAAAACACAAATTCATCTCATCATTAAGAAAATTCCCTTTTTCAGTACGCTATTCTAACTTGTAAATTCACTACGCCCTTCTTCCCGCTATTGGTGAATCTGGAATCGTATCATCGTCTCAATAGCATGTCCCTTGAGAATGTTTATGATTATGCCACCAAATTAGAAAATCAATAATTGTCCTATGAGGTGCTAAAAAGGGTATAGCGCGAATCTATCAATCGTATTTCACAAAGATTTCTTCGGTTAGTACGATTCTAAGGAATAATAATAACACTTTTCAATTTTACCAATACGAGTTTTCTCCGAATTATTATTCCCAACTAAATGGATATTATAGCATAGTGTAAACAAATTATATTAGTATGACCCAAAACAGAAAATATCTTTTTAATTAAACCTAATTTCTTAAAACTTATCTGGATCAAATCTGTGAACGTTAATATCTTGCCCTGCGCATATTTAACTTTTATTAATTAATTGTTATTATTTATAATTCTTATTTCTTGATTTAATGATTATCCCGCACCTTTGATATTCCTTATATATTTCTCTTATTATTCTTATACATCATTCTGATATTTACTCAACCTGATCTAAGCATAGTTATCTCCCTCCAGTAATGGTAATGGTAACGGTAACGCTAAGCACAATTCCCACTGTGAGTTAAAGCAATTTGGATCTTAATGATAAGCTGTAAAATTAAAAAAAATTCATTATAAAAATTACTGTGATTCTTAAAAAACTATCATAATCTCTGTATCATACAAACACAAAACTTGTAGTTCATTTGCCCAGAGTTCATTACAAACGGGTTCGCAATAGAAAGTGTTGATTGTCCTGGCTTCGCTAATAGTTTTCCTATATAATTAACCAATGCTATTAAGTAAATAACTAACTGTTAAGTCAGTTTAAACGATTAAAAGTATGCTTATGAAATTTTTCCTGATCGACATTCATTTTTAAATCATTCAATTAGGATCATCTCTTCAGCCATACTTTCAATGTCTTGATTTTGGTTTATACTTCTGTTTCGGCACTGTCAAAGAAGGTCTGTTCTAAAACATTAGCGCCTATTTAATAAAACAACGTTTACAACGTTGATCACAACGTTGATCGCTGCTAATCGACACCTAAGGGTGTACCTAACTTTATCGTCGAGATTCTTTAAAATGAGTGTTATAAGTCATGTTCAAAACCGGCCAGAAGATAATTTTTATATATCTTTGTGTAATACTGGCTTTATTTTTGTATAAAAATGTATTTATTTAAGCAAAAAATGGTACGAAAATTGACGATTTTGTTCATTTTATATGAAATTGATTTTTTTTATATGACGTAGATCATTTTAGAATCTATATTAAAATCACTTCCCATGATAATCACGTGACAAATAGTGCGACTGTTATATAATATCTATATAATAATATTTTTAATAAAAATTTTTATTACTCACCCACTTTGCATAAAACCCATACATATTTGATTTTTAAAAAACTCCAAACTCAACTAAATCTTCACGTATAAAATCACTTAAATAACTACGTTATATATTCATACGTATTGGTATATACCAATAATTATCTTTATATACATACGTATCTATATGCCACAAACAAATAATTGCTCTACTTTACTTGATCTAGCCACACTGACCACCCAATTCATGCAGTCATACAATTGTACCTATAAACAAAATTCTGATAATTTTATATTACACCAAATAACTAACTAGATAGCTGCACAACATCATCGCACAAAACCAGGAACAGAACTAACTACTCAAGATTTGCTTAAATGCAGGAAAATAATTTTTCTTTTAAAAATTTAGATCGTATATAAAGTTTTTATACTTACCGTATATCTTCAAATATAAGCAACTGCAATTTTACACATTTTCGAGTCAAAAATAGAGTTTGCTTATATTCAGATATAA